CCGGCATGAGCAGCACATGGGTCCTCYGCACCTCAGCAACTTTCTGCTCTCTGTTCCACCACAGTGAACCAGGTTAGTTCCTCCTTCTGGGCACCATTGCTTCAGGCAATGTCATTTCTTCCCCTCTCTGATGAGAGTAGAAAAATTTCCTTTATTCAGCGAGACAAAAAAAATATATGAAAAAAAAAAAGGCCAAGTATTCTTAGGGTATTTCGGTTTTCTCAGCATTTCTGTGGGATTTCCAGTGCYATTTCACGTCCCCCTCCCTCCAGCTGATGACCTCAATGAGCTKCCAGTGGCCAAACGCATTTGTTGAGTATTCATGTGAAAAAAGGGCCCTTTTGGGAAGGGATGGGAGCCCCTGAGCACAGCCTGGGCTCTGCAGGTGCTGGCCCCGGTTCCGGGCAGCGCCATCTCTTCCCTGCAGCAGGGAATTTCTCCTGCTGGCTCCTGCCYCGTGCTCTGCCCTCTTGCCAGGTCTGCATGCACCGTCTGCATCTGAGCATGGATCAAATGGATCAAACAACCCCTGGGCTCGGCCTCGAGGAGGGAAGYGAGCGATCCCCAGGTGATCAACAACAGCTGCTGGTGAGAGCCGCGGGTAATCCCGAAACCAAGGAGGCTTCAGGGTTTGAAAACAAAAGGACGGAGCGAGGGCAAGCTCAGTCACACGGGGAGCACTGAAAGCCTTGRGTTAAGCTCGGTGAGATGAAGGTTCCTCGCGTTTTTCAGAGGAGACCACAAAGCCAAGAGGCAGCTGCCTGTGGGTGAGAAGGGCTGCCTGACTCACCGCCCCCAGCGTGCCACCGCGGCATGGGAGCGCACAGGGAAGCGCAGCTCCATCCCTCGAGCCAGGCTCAGGCTGGGCTAGGAGCACATGCCAGAAAGGGGAACAAAAACTCATCAASTCAACCACAGCTGTGGTAGAGAAAGGAAGATGGGGTTTCACAGCCTCACTGCTCTCACATCAGGGCTCACACCAGAGGGAAGGAGGGGTAGCCCACACTGCTCCCAGCCTGGCATYGCCTCTCCAGGCTGGCACACAGCCTTGCACCATTCCCCTGATGGGGCTGAATGGTTGTGTTGTTTGCATAAGGACAGGGATGGGGAGCTCTGCCAGCAGGCAAAGGCATCRAGGTGTAGGTGCCTCCTACATCCCTAAAGCAGTTAGATTAAATGGAAAGTCATCCATGAGCAGAAAAAGAGCAAACTGGGTGAACTGTGGAAATGCATGTTTAGCTGGCAGTCTGAACAGAGAGAAAGGGCCTATGGTGGTGAAGATGATATTGAGATTGCTCTGACCTGCTCCATCAGCTGCATGATACAGCAAAGGGGAAATCATGAATATGTATAGATTTAGAAACTACCTGAGAGGCCATAATTCCTACCATAAATGATTCCTGTCATGCTCTGCACACTGAAGGTTTCACCTAAGGAGTGCAGCTCTCCATGAGCAGGATGGTGGCACAGCTCACCTAGAGGTACAAAGTGGTTTGGAAATGATGGGGATACTGACCCGAAAGGAAACTTTATAAATTATAGATATTCTGCATGAAAATACTTGTGGAATTTGGGAAGGAGAGGAAGGAAATGTCTTCAGAATTGCTGAAGGACTGATAATTTTCAATGCTAAGTCTCAGCTTGAAGCAGATGTTTGTGGCCAAGTGATTAAATGGTTTCTGGTGGAAAGGCTGGCACCACCTTAACTGCAGCAGCACTGGCAGGGGCTGCTGAGACTCTGGTGCTCAAATCAGCTGGGGCTGCAGAAATGGGAAACAGCCTCTTGTTTGTTCCTCATTCTGAAGGGGGCGGGGGGGGGGGGCATATGTGCCTCCCGTGGCACAGCCCCTTCCTCTTGTACCCTCTAATCTGTAATCTTCAATATCCTGTTTTAACTGGAAGTTAAGATTTTAGCTTCATGAGGCTGCCTAAAAACCGGGAGGACGGAACTGAAGCAGGGCATTGATGCACATCAAGTCCAAAGTCCAGCAAAACAAATACATGTTCAAGTATTCACTCAAATCCATTCTATGTCAGGAAAAAAAGCATAAAGATRATTCAGTGTTTTGATGAGCAAAGGCAGATTTAAGCATACACTTAATTAATTCAAAAATTTTGTGCCCAAGGCCTGCTCAAAAAGTGTTACAAGATGTTCCTTTTTACAGAAGATCTTTAAGAGAATTCTCTTTCCAGAGTGTCACGTTATTCTATCTTAATTCATTACAGGCTAGACTTTGCCACTTCCATTAATGCAAAACCATCCCTTCATGTTGAGCTGARAATAGCTAAAAGCAGAAATCTAATTTAACTCTTAAAACAAGCAGAGTGTTTGGAAGGATATGTTACCAGAGAGGAGGCTGTGCCTGTGCTCTGTTTGATCTGTGCTAACTGGGGAGTGTTCAGGCCTGTGACACGCATTGTTCACTGGAAATCAAATTGCACCCTGTCATAACAGTCTATTAACAGCCCTGCATTTCTGCAGAACTTCACCTCTTTGCCTGAAGATAACATTTCTCTTTCCTCTCAAGGATAAAATAGCTTCCTTTCTTGCAGCCCTGCATATAATGGTGCTATTGCTTGACAGGGATGTCAACTTCCCTTGACTATTAAGGAGAGGGGAAATGTCTTTGTTACACATTTCTGTTCTCCTTTCATCCTCTTCAGAGAGGCCTCCAGCTCAATCTAAACAAAATAAAGCCAGGGTATCAGTTAAAAACAAAACCATTTTGAAAACTCTTTGATCTCCCGGGCTTCCTGTTAAATATACAATCGACTGTTTCTCCACATCCTCGACCACTACAGATCTGAATTTCTCTGCAGTTTATATTGACTTTGGCACCACACAAGATTAACATATCATTGGCTATAAAATCTCTTAAAGGCAAAGAGATCCAACCCCTCTTCAGCTTCACCTTTGCCTTTCTGTGTTCTCTGCTTTTCAATCCTGCCACCCACCTTTCTGTTTGTGTACAGGGAACCCTGGGGTTGGWCCCTCTCTGTTGTCAGACTCCTTTTGTGAGTCTTGTCAGTCCRTGTCCCCCTTTCCCCAGGCCAGTGAAGACTGTCAGCTCTGGGAAAACTCAGTATCTCTTTTCCTCTGGATCTACAAATCTTTTTCCCTCCTGAGAAGTTTTTCCTGCCCTGTGCCACCAGCACTGCCACCAGGGTCTCTGTTGACTTTGGTCCTCACCATGGTGTTTTTCCCCACTCCTGCCCTTGCATTGCACCATTCTCTGCATGGGGAGGAGCACTGGGTACGCCTGCCCACATCCCATCACTATGCCCACATGGCTGGACCTGACTTCCCTTGTCCTTCCCTTCTTCCTCACCTCCTCTTCCTGTGGTGCTGGATTAACACACTCCATGATCTTTTAATGGTTCTGGGGTTCTGTGTACTCAGCACTCAGCTGTACCTCAGCCCTGCCCTTCTCCCTTTGCAGAATTTAAACTTTTCCAGTCTATTCACAATGGATTTCTTCTCTCTCAAAGGGTTTTTTGCCTTCATCCTCACCC